TTTTTTTAAAGATTTTATTTATTTATTTGACAGACAGAGACACAGCGAGAGAGGGAACACAAGCAGGGGGAGTGGGAGAGGGAGAAGCAGGCTTCCTGCCAAGCAGGGAGCCCGACGCGGGACTCGATCCCAGGACCCTGGGATCATGACCTGAGCCGAAGGCAGACGCTTAACGACTGAGCCACCCAGACGCCCCAACCTCAGCGTTTCATAGCTGCAGAAACACGAGGCTGTGGAACGTGTCTTGCTGTATTGCTATGTTATGAGCCTTCCAGGTAGCACAAGACAAAAGGGCAAATTCCTGGATGGACTGTCCGAATTTTATTCATTTCCAGGAGGTAGAAACAAAAACCCAGGAAGAGACGTAACTTAGGGTCATCAGTGGTTCTTCAGCCTGCCTGTGCACCGTTCACCAATCACATCGGTTTGTAGGAGCAGAGTTAAGTGTCCTCAAGAGGCTTGGGACTACACCCAGTTGCATTTTGGAGCCCAGACCCTTAAAACCGAGAATGGTCTGTTCCTCTTGAGTTCTCTAGAATTCAGATATGCTCAGTCAAAAGAAAACATTAGAAAAGAAACACAGGGAAATTAGACTCTAAAGTAGCAGTTTGATTGAAGGGTTAGGTTAATTACAGATGAATTCAACCTACCGCTGCTGAGGAAAAGGAAAGCTCCAGCCCCACCAGCCGTGCCCCGGGGGAAGGGTGTGAGCTGAGGCGTGTGCGCTTTCCCACTTGAACCTGGAGCCTGATGGTGCAGAACCTGACATCTAAATGTCATTTGAAGGACAGCCTGAAAGTCCACAAGACACAGCCATCCTCCTCAGTGAGGCCTTGAGCCTCGGTCAAGGAATTTTGAGGAGAGAGCTTCTTCTTTCCCCCTTTCTTTCCTTCCTTCCATCGGGTAGAATTCGGCCACAGAAAAAACCCAAGTGTTGAGAACTGACCTGCTAGAACACTCTGAGTTGTAGTAAGGGACTGAGTGCTCATAACCCCAGGGTTTACAAATCCTTGATAGAAGCTTCCTCAGTTTTTGAGAACAGACAGCTAATGAGCCTACGTTTATACGAGGGCGGTGTAGTGGACTTTGGTTTTTTGTTTTTTTTTTCTTTTTTGCCTGCTCAGCGTTGAATCTCACTTGCTTGTGTTTGCGGAATTCCCTAACTTGTAAGAGGCAGAACTCACCAACCACTGTGAAAGTGGAACATGTCAGATATTCAGTTCCCAGCCTCCCTTGGAGGCGGAACATGGTTGCATGACCTAACACTGGCCCCTCAGTCCCAGACTCTGAGTTAGAAACTAGAACGGAAGAGATGAAGGGACGCTGGAGAGATCCCTTTGGTGCAGACAGCAGGCCAGCGACGTTGAGTTTCCAAGTCCAGCGGAGGCAGGGCGGGGGAGGAAGGGTCGGGGTCTAGTTCCAGGAGGACAAGAGCAGCGCAGCAGGTGCCCAGCATCCTTGCACTGGAAAGTCGCTACCCTCGTTATACGGTTGGGAGATGCCTGGTGATTTCTGAACCAGTGTTCACCAAGGTCTTCCAAGAACCTATTTAACCAACTGAACTAAGAGCTTAAATTGAAGCAGGCCTGCCTGAGAGCAGAGAATAGGAAGAAAATAGGACTTTGCTAGAAGAGGCTCTTTCTGTCTGCAGCCTGCAATTTAAGTTATTCAGCATGCAATTATTTGAAGCTGTTGGGTTACAATATTGTTAATTTTCTACGTCAGGATACATTTAGTGTGAGAAGGGGAGTGCAGGTGCCTGGTAAAGACCCAGATGTCGTGAGGCCATGGATGTAAACGGGTTCAGGACACAGCGAGAGCATCTTAGCGGAGGATCCACAGGCGTTGCTCAATGGAGTCAACAGAGAAGTAGGGATTTAAAGATCTTTTTGAGAAGTGAGAGATCAGCCTGGGACAAGTTCTGCTTATGCCGACTTCCTCTGTGATGGCGCCACCAGACGCTTGCCATGTTTCTTTAAACCTAATGCCATCTGCATGGAATACTTTTAAGTATTCTTATACTTAAACATTACATATGTAAGTACATATATGATATATAATATTGAACTTAAATATTCTATAATTTTTTGAGAATCTCAGGTGATTTTCCTTCCATTAGTCAAAGCTCAGAGATTTCACAGTTATGTTGTCAGTTTATTGACCCTTCAGCTTCTGGGTTTTGCAAATAAAATACTGACTCTATTAGCTTCTTTCAGAGAATAATCTCAGAGTGTTCTACATATAATAAGGAGTTCACCCTTCACTGCCCGTCCAGAGAGAGAAAGTGAGGCGCAGAGCCTCGATCAGGTCTGTGTGGAGCAGGGTCAGCTCCCAGGACCAAGCACAGGCAGCCAAGACGTAAGACGTTGCAGACGTCAGCTGTCTGAGAGAGGTACTAGGTGTCGCAGCTTCCTGCCTTCAGCTCTTCTTGTCCAGTCCCAGCACGGAGCAAGACAGCTGGAGGTCTGGGCTCACTGGACCCACATGACTCATTCCGTCTGCTATACCACAAAGCTGGAAAGCTGTACCTATAGTTCTCTCTTCCAGGCCTGGGCTCTGAGGAGCAGGCTGAGTGCTCGGAAAGCCTCAGTCCCTTGTCCATCCCACAGGTGGCTGTGGAAGAAGCATCACCGAGGAGTTGATCTGAGCAGAGTACAGATGTGCAGAGTGTCATGGGAGCTTGGGACATGGAGCCAAGTTCAGTGTTTACTGTAGCCCCTCTATATTCCCTCAGAAAGTCCCTTCACTGAGTCTGTGGTGTCAGCTCTCTGGAAGTGTCACACTGGCGTAGACTGTGATGGAATTTGGTTCCTGGGGACAAAACAGAAGTCTGTGAGTAGAGGCACCAGCTTCACAGGCTACAAATGGAAAGCGCGCTGCTTAGTAAAAGGAAAGAGCCTCAGATACCAGGTGGCGCAGTGACTTGCTGGGAGCGGCACCTCAGGGCTCCAGCTCCCTTCCAGGTGTGTGCACCCCATCACCACTGGGGAGACCCAGGAGATGTCTCTCTTCGCTCTCTGCCCTGACCTTGCCTTAGAAGGAAAACCATTTGCTTTGCTGTTGGGCATGGGGCAGAGTTGGGGAAGCCAAGAGAATTCTAATTGACGGAGCTTTAGAAAGGGATAGTGAGACCCAAAGAGAGAAGGAAGAACTGGAGCAGAGATGAGGGAGGAAAGACAGGACTGCAGGCAAAGACGTCTGCTAGGTAGAGTAGATTCAAGAGTCAGAGAAAGACAGGAATGGAGGAATTCAGGAAGTTTTGCTGTAAAATGTGAAATACAACAGACTGTTTTTGATGAAGAAAACGTCACTAAAAATCTACATTATTTCTTAAAGCTTTTTAAAATCAGATTCATGTATTTACTTCCCCATTGAGTAGGACAGTGTTCTGAGAATAGACCTCCAGATGCAGACAGGGCATCGTCCCAGGCATCTCCGGGTGTGAGTCCAGTAAGAGCTTTGAGGCAGAGGAGTCAATGTAGGCATTTCTGTGGCCTTTTGATCCTCAATTATCTCATAAAATGCTTTATTTAATAGAACCCCACTGAAGCCAAGATTTCAGCCCAGAATTTATTTCTGTCCATTTAGGAAAAGAAATAATTCCTATCAAGTAAACTTGATCCATGCTGATCTTGCAGTGGGGGTAGATAGCAAGGCTTAGTCTGGGCTGCACACCATATTCTCTTCTGGGCTCATGCCAGGCACAGCTCCAGTCCTAGACATTCTGATGAAACTGGGCTGGATGGAGCCCCCGCATGAGCCTTTTTACAAAGTTGTCCTGCGATTCTATTATGCAGCTGGACTCAGGAGCTCTTGGACTCAAGATGCAAATCCCAAATGTAAACATGCTCTGGGACCACTTGGGGAGGCTGTTTTTTTAATGGATAAATGTCTGGTTGCTCACCATGGACCTTCTGACTGAACAGAATCCTAAGAGAAAGCTCCAGGAATCTTTATTTTTAGCAAATATGCCAGCGGATTCTGATGTGGTCTTTGGACAGCTCTCAGAGAAACACTAGTGAACAGAGAAAGAGCTGTATTCCCATGTGAGCAGCCAGGAGGGGTCTCCCGGAAGTCCTGCAGCCAAGACCATGGAGGATCCTTGAGACCCACTTTCTAGGGCTTGCCTTCTCCACTTCAGGACTGCTTTATTTCGGCTCTACCCAGGTCCCACCATCCCCTCCACCACCTCTTCCCTCCCTGCAGAGAAGAAGCTCAGAGAGATGCCTCACCTGGACAGGCTCTGGGACAGGTTCTGTGGCAGCAACGTAAATGGTGGTGCAGGGGTCCTGAGCTGGCAGGGGATCAGGTTTCTTCTGAGCAGACTACAAGAGAAGCAAAGAAAGAGGAAATCAGCTGAGCAGAGTTGTTTCCATCTGATTCTCCCCACGGAGAAGCACAAGATCCAGAAGCTTTGAGCTAGAGAGCCCCTCAGAGTCAACTGGTCCAGCCTCCTTCCCAGGTGGAAATGCTCCTGCAAATTCCCCAGAATTCAGTTCTCAGGGTTTTGCTTGGACTCCCCCAGTGGCATCGTGGAGCTCACAGCCTCGAGAGGCAGCCCACTGCACCATCAGCCCTTCCCAGATGTTGTAAGTCTTCCTGATGGTGAACCAGGACTGGTGGGGCTGTCACCAGCGCAGTTGAAGGGAGCGGGATCTTCATAACATTTGTCTCACTCCTGTCACCGAGTTCATCCCATCCCACACTGCTGTTCCTGCTATTCCTGACTCTGACAGGGTTTCCTGTGACTTCTCTTTCCTGCCCAAGTACTGAACTTAATAATATAATAAGCATAATAATAAGCATACATACAATGTTTTCCACAAGTGCCCATTTGTCTCACATCGACTCTGCATGTTAAATCCCGTTGTTACATTTCACAGATGGAGAAGCTAAGGCTCGGAAAGACTTAATATTTTCCTATGTGCATTTAATCATTGTCCACATTATTAGTCTTTATATGATATATCAAAGCTAAGGGTCTCACGAGGCCTCTCAGCTTAAAGTGCATGCTCTTCCCAGCATGCTACTCTTCTTTGCTTACCCCAACTTATAATGACCTAAATACCCCAGATATTTAAAGTCTAATTCATACATGATGGCACTTAACTGTGCGATATTTAAAGCACTCTGATATATTTACATGTTGTTTTTTTCAAACAGACTAATTATTCCTGTATTTCTTCACATTCCCCACAAAAATAGTACTGGGCACATTTTTAAAAAATCAGTTGATGTTACTTTAAATGACTTACAATCCATACTACCAAGACGAAGTCAATGTAGGGGTAAATTGAGACCACATCCCCATTAAATAGAGGTAACAAGACTTATGGCAGGGAAGTCATCCTTTCAACACACTTCAGGGACACCAGTGTAGGATATTGCTACTCCCCACTTCTCCTGGATATAGAGCAAGACTAGAAACTAAACATGGGTTTTAACATGAGAAAGCTCAGAATCTCGTCCTCTGACGGAAAAGGTAAGGAATTGAAAACGTTTACTGGAGGAAAGAAGATTCAAGGTGGGACATGATCTTTCTCTTTATATATTTGATGGATTGTCATGCAGAAAAAGAACTAGATTTGTCCTGTAGAGTCCTTCGGGTTTAAACCAAGATTGGAATTTGGAGGTTCAGTATAGTGAAGATCTTTCTAATACTGAGAGATGCTCAAATGTGGAAATGGATTGCCTTGGGAGGCAGGGAATTCGCCATTACTGGAAGTGCCTGGGGTAGACCAGGGCTTCTCATACTTGAATGTGCATATGCATTACGTGGGTGTCTTGTTAGAAAGCTGGTTCTATTTCAGAAGACTTGGGGTAAGCCCTGAGGTTCTGCATTTCTAAAAATGCCCCAGGTGATGGTGATGTTGCCTCTTCACAGACTGTATTTTAGTAAAAAGGAGCTAGCCAACACTTTGGAAGTAATAATGAGAAGATAACTCAAGCAGTAATTGGGTGATTCAAATAGATGACTTTCAAGATCCCATACAACTCATAGATACTAGATTTCAGAGAAAAAATGAATTTAAGGAAGAATTATTTGCAATAAGGAGATAGATGAAGAGAATGTGAAACAATTTAAGAGACCTTTATCCACCCCTGCCTGTCTTCCTGTCTGTGAGGACTTTGGTTTGACCTGACTTAGAGGCACAGGGGAGAAGTTAGTAACTTATGCTTTTCATGTTTAGTGAAGAAGTTTTGGAAAGGAGGAAAAAAGTATAAAGGAAACCACCTATACTTACTACTTCAACACAACATGGTTAGCACATTGTTATTTTTCCCTTCAGGATTTTAACCTGGATTTAGGAAATTCTCTTAAACATAGTTGTAATAACTTAGTACATTTTTGTATCCCTGTGTCTTCAGTTAGGGCATGAGTCCAGGGAGCGTGATTTACAGAAACTCCAGGGGTGTTATTCTCACGTATTTTTCATGAGCACTGTTTCCCAGAGTTGTACAACATAGCAGTCCTGAGAAGACCTACGAGAGTTCCCTAGCAGACAGCAAATGTGTGTTACATAATTTTCCCTGTTACCCTAGTCTTTATAATGGTATCATATCATCATTATGAATAAGAACAAAGGAAATATTAACATTTAATCATTGTCTATGTTATTAGTCTTTATATGATATCATATAGCATTGCAACTATGAGCAAAGAAAATTGTAAAAACATAGGTAAGTGTAAATGCATATTGATGTATAAAACAGTAACAATTATGTCTCCTATGTTTAAAACATACATGAAATTAAAATAATGGCCAAAAAAGGGCACATAAATCAGAAGGTGAAGTTAAAGGGGAGATGAAGTTTTGTCCAGGAAGAGAATAAATGTTAGACTTTGGTGAGTCAAGGATGCATTTTATAATTTCGAGGTTATCAACTAAAAAACAGGAAAAAAGTTGCTTAATTATTAAAAGGGAGGAGAATGGTATAATAAATTATAATTTAAAACCCTCCTACACTGTTGGTGGGAATGCAAGCTGGTGCAGCCACTCTGGAAAACAGTATGGAGGTTCCTCAAAAATTTGAAAATAGAGCTACCATACGATCCAGCAATTGCACTACTGGGTATTTACCACAAAGATACAAATGTAGGGATCCAAAGAGGTATGTGCACCCCAATGTTTATAGTAGCAATGTCCACAATAACCAAACTATGGAAAGAGCCAAGATGTCCATCAACAGATGAATGGATAAATAAGATGTGGTTTATATCTACAATGGAATATTATGCAGCCATCAAAAGGAATGAAATCTTGCCATTTGGAACGATGTAGGTGGAACTGGAGGGTATTATGCTGAGTGAAATAAGTCAATCAGAGAAAGACATGTATCATATGACCTCACTGATATGAGGAATTCTTAATCTCAGGAAAAAAACTGAGGGTTGCTGGAGTGGTGGGGGGGGTGGGAGGGATGGGGTGGCTGGGTGATAGACATTGGGGAGGGTATGTGCTATGGTGAGCTCTGTGAATTGTGTAAGACTGTTGAATCACAGATCTGTACCTCTGAAACAAATAATACATTATATGTTAAAAAGAAGAAGAAGAAGAGGATAGCAGGAAGGAAAGAATGAAGGGGGGGAAATTGGAGGGGGAGACAAACCATAAGAGACTATGGGCTCTGAGAAACAAACTGAGGGTTCTAGAGGGGAGGGGGGTGGGAGGATGGGTTAGCCTGGTGATGGGTATTGAAGAGGGCACATTCTGCATGGAGCACTGGGTGTTATACGCAAACAATGAATCACGGAACACTATATCAAAAACTAATGATGTAATGTATGGTGATTAACATAACATAATATAAATAAATAAATAAATACGCAAACAATGAATCACGGAACACTATATCAAAAACTAATATGTAATGTATGGTGATTAACATAACATAATATAAATAAATAAATAAATAAATATATAACAGCTTCAAAAAAAATTATAATTTAAAAGATTCCTCCCTCAGAGGAACCCCTGACTCAGATAGCTTTACCCATTAATCCTACCAAATATTTAAGGGAAAAATAACATCAATCTTGCCCAGAGGAAGTACAACCTATAGTGGGTTGAACTGTGACCCCCAAAAGATGGATCCATCCAGAATCTCTAAATGTGACCTTATTTGGAAGAGGATCTTTGCAGATGTACTTAAGGTAAGGATTTCAAACTCAGGTCAAGCTGGATTAAATCCAGTGATGAGTGTCCTTTTACTCTTAAAAGGAAAGGAGAAGACCCAGAGACAGAGAGAGAAGAAATGTATGCGGAGGTGGAGGCAGAAATTGGAGTTCTGTAGCTACAAGCCAACTAATGTCAAAGAGTGCCCGGAGCCACCGGAAGCTGGAAGAGGTAAAGCAACATTTTCAGAAGGAGCATGGCCCTGCCCACACCTCCATCTTGAACTTCTGGCCTCCACAGCTGTTAGAGGATGACTTCGTAGCTTTAAGTCTCCATGTCTGCAAACATTTGTTACAGTAGCACTAGGAAATGAACATGCACTCTTACTCATTTTGTGAGGTTAGCATAATCTTGGTATCAGGGGCGCCTGGGTGGCTCAGTCGTTAAGCGTCTGCCTTCGGCTCAGGTCATGACCCCAGGGTCCTGGGATCGAGCCCCACATCAGGCTCCCTGCTCCACGGGAAGCCTGCTTCTCCCTCTCCCACTCCCCCGCTTGTGTTCCCTCTCTCTCGCTGTGCCTCTCTGTCAAATAAATAAAATCTTTAAAAAAAAAAAAATCTTGGTATCAAAACCTCACCGGGGCATTACAAGAGAGGAGAATTGTAGGCCAATTCCACTTGGAAGCCTAAACAGGACAGCAACAGCATCCTCTGAACAAAATATTAATAAAATAAAACCCAGCGATATTTAAAAAGGACCAGACTACATCGCCTCTATTCCAGGAATGCAAATGCAGTGTAGTCTTTGCAGATCCCCAGTGTGGTTCAGCAGATAAATAAAAAAGATAATATAAAAAATCCGTATCAATAGATGCAGAGAGAGTGTTGATAAAATTCAACGCCGATTCCTTAGCAAACCAGGAACAGAAGAGAATGTTCTCAATCAGATGAAAAGGCAGCTATAAAAACCTTCAGCAAAAACCATATTTAATGGCCAGATGTTGAAAGTTTCCCTTTTGAGTTTGGAAGCATCCAAGGACGCCTCTTTTAACACTTCCATTCAACACTGGATAAGAAATCTCAGCCAGTAAAACAGGAAGAGAAGTTATGTGGTTTGAAAATGAAGAAATATAGTGTAATTTTTTTTACAGATGATACAATTTTGTGCAGAGAATATCCAAGTCACCTATAGAAAAATGACTAGAATTTATAAGTGAGTTTAGCAATGTTGCAAATATAAGTTTAAAATACAAAAATTAATTGTATTTCTATGTATCTATAATATATAGAAACTAAAAATTTTTTAAAAGATAATGTTGATGATAGTATTCCAAAATCTCAAACGCTCAAATGCCAAGTAATAAATTATGGCGGACAAGTCTCTTATGCAAAACACTATAAAACATTGTTTAGAGAAATTAAAGAAGACCTACATGAAGGAAAGGATGTATTATTTTGTGAATGGAAAGACTCAATACTATAAGTGCGTATGGTCTCCTCAAAGTGATCAGTGCAGTTCTGATTAAAATTCCGGCAGGATTTTTAGGTGGAACTTGACAAACTGAATCTAAAAATATATATGAAAATACAAATGACAGAAAACGGCCAAGAACTCTTGAAGAAGAACAAAAACAAATAAGAAGACATTTTACCAGATACCAGACTTGTAATGAATCTGTAATCTATAATGAATTTGTCAAGATTGTATGGTACTGACGCAAGCGTAAACAAGCAAGAAAGGGAGCAGGATAGAGAACCAAAACAATGGGTCCTCACATATACGGACTCTTGGTTTGTGATTAAGATGGCACTAGCAGGAGCAAGGGCCATCTTTTCAATATGTGGTCGATAGGACACCCATTTGGAGAAAAATGAAACCTGACCCATCTCACACCCTACTCCAAAAGCCATTTTCAGGTACATAACAGATGTAAATGTGAAAGATAAACCACACAGCTTTTAGAAAATGATAGAATATCTTAATTACCCAGGAGTAGAGAAAGATTTCTCAGAGAGGACACAAAAATCGTTATCTCCAAAGGAAGAGATTACTGAATTGCTCTATACTGCAGTTAAGAACCTTTCTTTATCAGGTGTCACTGAGAAATTGCAAAGGCGAAACACAGAATGGGTGAAGGTATTTGCTAAAATGTAACTGCCCAAAAAACCCCTTTTTTAATTAAAAAATAAAATAAAATGTAACTGCCAAAAAGCTAAAAATATTTAAAGAACTTATGCTAATCATTTAAAAAAAAAGCCTGAAATTCTAAGGAAAACAGACAAGAGATTTAACAGGCACTTTAAGAGAGAGGATATTAATATGACCAATAAATATAAGAAGCATTGTCCAATTTCCTTAATAATTAGGGGAATGCAAAATAAAACTATAAAAAGACACGTCCAACAGAATGACTAAAATTTAAAAGGCTGATAACACCTAGTTTTGATTAGAATGTGTAGCTGGCCTAAAAGTAAATTGGCGCATGCACTTTGAAAAGCAGTTTGGCCTTATCCAGCCAAGTTGAGGATGTGCATACTGTATGATTCAGCAATTCTACTTCTAGGTACATACCCAACAAAAATAGGTGCACATATCTACCAAGAGATACACATGTGAATGTTCATAGTTGGAATTTTTATGATAGTCTCAAACTGGAAATAACCCAAGTGTCCATCAATAGTCAACTAGATAAATGAACTCTTGTATATTCATGCAGTGATGTTCTATAAAGCAATGAAAATAAATGCATTATATCCAAGCACAAAGACATACGAATCTCATGAAAGTAATACTGAGGGGAAAAAACCAGACCCAAGAGGAAAAATACTGTAGAATCCCATTTTTATAAAGTTAAAGAAAGAGAGAGCGAGCACGCTAAAATATATTTTTAGAAGTCAGGACAGTGATATCTTTGGTGAGGAGAGAGAGAATAGAGATGAAGGGGTGGGTACAGGAGGTCTTGTGGGGGTTGCTGGCAATGTTCTGTTCCTTGATCAGGCTGGTAGCTATATGGTATTAGAGGACTCAATACTGAAAGATGTAATTTCTCCTCAAATAGATCTGTAGATTCAATGCAATCCTAATAGGATTTTTTTCCCCTTTTCTGATACTTGAGAAGCTGATTCTGAAATATATACAAAAGTACGAAGGGACAAGACTAGTTGAAAACTGTTGGAGAAAAACAAGGTGGGAAGATTTGCTTTACTAGATAACACGATAGGGTCATTCACTGAGCTGACATTTATACTTTGTGCACTTCTGGTATATATGTCATGGTTTACAGTAAAAAGAACAGCATCAGACACAGTAGATAGGGAAGGCACCATGCTAAAGCTGAAACTGGTTGCCAAATGTGTAAATGCAAGGGCGGAGTTTGCTCTTGGGACTCTCCTATATTTAAATGGAGCCTGGTTCTCAGCCTGGTTAATACATAGTGATGGCCTAGGTATTAAACCCTCCAAGCCACTAGGGGGCGGCAGAAATAAGAGCTTTGTCCTAGAGTCCTCTGAATGGCCACATTCTGGTCTGTACATCACCTAGAATTGCCTTCATGTCTGAAGAACTAGAGTATATACCCATCTAACCAAATTCCTTTAGCCTCCCTCTTACGCCTAACATAACTGCTCCTCAACTTCATCGTGGCTCTCCCTCAGTCCAACCGCCTTCCATCAGGTCTTTCATCTCCAGCCTACATATCACCTTCCATCTACCCAGCCAAAATCCTCAAGATCCTCCTTCCCTGTCTCCATGGTGCTTTGCAAACTCCTACACTTGGATCAGACCAGCACATCATACAACAGCCTTACTGCACTTTCCTTCTGTCCTCAAGCCTGTGCCCTTGTCCCTAGAGAGGGAAGAGTTTGGTAACAGGGAACCACAGACACTCGGAACCCCAGGGCTGGAGGAGTCGTGTGTCATGTGTTTCTAGCTTCCTCATTTTTCCCTTATGAAGACATGGATGACCAGAAGAGTACCCAGTGTTTTCCATTATTTCAAATAACAAATAGTCCCATCTGACACTGAAGTTTAATGCCTTTTGCAAGATGGACTGGCCAGGAATCCCACGGGGAAACAGGCCCACTCCAGACAAAGAAAATAGAGAACTTACACCTGATTTCTGGACTTGGGCATAAATAGTAAGGCTTTTTGCTTCCATTGTTGGCTGGTAATGATTTGCTTTACCTGGGGAAAAGAAACCACAGTGGTTATCTCTGTCTGGCATGCCCACAAACTCTGCTCAGACCTGTCTGGTCTTTACCCCCCGCCACCTCCCCACCTGCCCCAGGAGTCCCAAAGGCACAAACACCAAGTCCCAACACATGTGTCACATGACCTTAGGTTAGTTACTCCATCTCTCTAATTCTATTTCTCTATCTGTGCAATGGGACTGAAGTATCTGCACCCACAGTGTTGTTGTGATGATCACAGGAGATATTATTTGTAAAGTGTTTAGAACAGTGCCTGGCACGTAGTAAATTCCCAGTATGTGTTACATGCAATTGGAATGCCATTCAATTATTTTAATCTCTATTGTTTAATGTGCATATCTAGTCTCCTAATAAGATTCTAAGTTCTCCGAGGACAGGGCTCATTACTCTTTTGTACTCTCCCGTTTGTCGTACATTGCTTCACTCAGCTTTCTCACCCCTCTGTTTCTGGGGCACTTGATGGCCTCTTACCACAACCGTAAAATGAAGATGTAGACTGTGTAATGTCCTTTCCTACTGTGTCCTGAAGCACAAAATTGTCCTTTGTTAGCAGGACTTTATGTACTTAAATTGGCTCTAAGGACTATTCCCAGATGCTCCTTGTGCCGCCCCCTGCTGGCCATAGGACTTAAACATTGATGTGTTAATTCAACTCCATTAAAAGATTTGTCTATGTGTGTACGTATCCAGCCAGCCAGCCAGCCAGCCAGCCAGCCATCATGCACCTGTCCATGATCCATCGTCTAACCATGGACGCCACTGTATTTGGTACTTTCTGTGTTTGGACTCATGGATACCCACAACAGTACCATGTGGGTACATAATATCATCCCCATTTTGCAGAAGAGAGTTCATTTATTTAGTCACATAGCTTGTCAGTGGCAAAGTCTGCATTTGAATGTAAGTTTGTCTGATGCCAAACCCTATGTTTTTAACCACTGTATTCTGGATATGAAATTGCCAGAGAAACCATTTGAACACCTTCAGAGCCAGGCCATTTTGGAGGTGACAGCATTAGAAAGTGCTAACAGAATCAAAACAAAGTCTTGCAAAGGGTACAGCAATTAATGTAGGTTTTCCCGTAGGTTTGAGGCAAGGATTTCATGTTCCTGGCTTACAAGGAATACAGGGTGGCTGGAGACAAGGATGGATATGTATGCTGAGGAGGGTGACAGGGACTTGTGGGGAGATGGGGGGGCATTATTCCCTTCAGAGCACAAACATGCGATGAGCAGGGGAAAGAATGTGAGTTAGGATCCTGGCACCCACTCCGGCTAGGTTAGCATGGCTGCGTTAATCTCCGTTTTCTCAATCCTGGTATCTCAATGTTTCCTTCTTATCCAACAAAATGTGGGTGCCCTGCCCCATCGCCTTAGGCTCTCAACACGGTTTCTGTCTGAATCACCCTAACCTCACCCCTCCCCCTCTAACTCTTAGTTGGAGGAAATGAGATAAAAGTAGGTGGATGTCCTGTGATCTATCTAGACTTTCTTATACAAGCAAACCCAGCAAGAGTGCTGCGGTAAGGGCTTTTTTGAGAAGGTTACACGTGAGAACGCTGATCCACTTGAGAATAAGATCAGCCATCGATTTGGTGGTGTGAGGATCAAGTCCTGTCCTCACCGTGGGAAAGCCAGCCCAGGGACCTATCCTGATCTGGGGGCAGGACCTTCTGACTTTGGTGTGGGTGGGTGATGAAAGTGTGGCCGAGCACATTTCCCTGTGACATGGAACCAGGGGACCCTTTGGAGGGGAGGCCAGGAGACACTTCCCCTAGGTGCTTAAACTGCAAGGGAATAACTGGTAGCCAGAGTAGCTACCCTGGGTGATCTTCCATATTGTTTAGTCAGGCCTTAAGCAACCTCACAAATTCCCAGTATGTGTTACATGCAATTGGAATGCCATTCAAATATTTTAATCTCTATTGTTTAATGTGCATATCTAGTCTCCTAATAAGATTCTGAGTTCTCCGAGGACAGGGCTCATTACTCTTTTGTACTCTCCCGTTTGTCGTACATTGCTTCACTCAGCTTTCTCACCCCTCTGTTTCTGGGGCACTTGATGGCCTCTTATCATAACTGTAAAATGAAGATGTTTCCCAAGATGAGTCAGAATTTGTGTAAAAATCTTAGCAAAAAGTGTTCCCTCTGCTGTGGGTCTTCCCATTCAACCTTCTGTGGCTCATCCCTCTTTCCATCCCCGTGGCCTAATTAGGGACCAAGACATATTGAATTAGACTGAATTGAGCAAGGTCCCAGGATGTGTGTATTTAGTATTATTGCAAAGGTGCTTCAGGCAGAAAGCCAGAGTGGTGCAAGCAGATCTGCCTGTGCGGAGAGGTTCCCTGCTTACCACAGGGTCTGATATCAATCTCTTTATTGGCAGACACCTACCTCTTCTTCTCAACAGCAGTATTACCACTTCAAGAATCAAGATGACACCAACGATGCCCCCTAAGAGCAGCCCGGCATACAGTCCCCATTGTGTTGATTCTGGAAAAAAAAAAAAAAAAGTCAAAGGGCAATCTCAACAGTACTGTAAGTTTAAAAACATCCTTCACGGAAGTGGGGAGACCAAGCCCCGTGCTCTCTAGCTATATTCTCTCTCAGGGGACACATCCATTCTAATGGCTTCAGACAGCAGCTGCAGACCACTAATGATTTCCTACCTCTTCTCTTATCCTAATTCCTCTCCTCACCATACTTGACTTTCCTAATTTCCTATGGAAATGTCCTAACTCCTGTAAGGGTTTTTCTATTCAAATGCTTGATTTGTACCTGCGTGACCACGTATCCAAAATCAGACACATCTTTGTCTGTCCCAAGTCAACATCGCTTGCCCATTTCCCTGGTTTTAAATCTCTGAGGAGTCCTGCATCTGTTTTGGTAAAAAGAACATGCCGGTTCCACCTGCTGTCCCCACACTCCCACACCACGCTCATGCGACGCTGGGAGGAAGAACGACCGACTTTTGTTCTTTAAAAATAAACATAATAGTACTATTATTGTCCTCCCATGCAAATAACTGTATTGAACCCACTGAACCTGAACTGAAAGAAAAGCATGTATGTCTTCCTCTCAGGGATTCCAGTGCTTAATACAAGTCCTAGAGTAGCAGTCAGCCAGGCTCGAGGTCCTAGAGCTACTTTTTTCTTTTTTCTTTTTTTTCTTTCTCTCCTGTACACACTTCGCCAAATCCTTCCAAGCCAGGAGCAGTACCTTGGAAAACAGTGAATGAGAACTAATGCCCCAGCAAACAAGACATCCAGCTTACTCAGATAATAACAGACAACTATGGAGCATTGTCAATGGGCCAGGCTTTATTTTTAGTGCATTGTGTGTACTAATGGATTTAATCCTCACAACAATCCTACGAGGTAGTTACTCTCATTACTCCCATTTTGTGCATAAGGAAGCAGGCATGGAGACCTTCATATACTAGAGCTTCGTCGAGGGGTAGAAACGTGGCTGAATGCTGAAGACAGACTTCTTGGAGAGTCAGAGAGACTTACGGGCTTGGGGTGAGTTACCCCAAGGTAATGAACGCTGGGGTCAACCTGAAGCACCAGGATTCTAAGTAAAGTAATAGCATTAAGGGTCTAAATACAATTGACCCTTGCACGGCAGCAGCCAAGCCCCACCGTGTTCCATCAGCCCATGGAACTGACCCAGCAAATGGTTACAGTTGCTCTGACTATTTTGAGACTCTTTCCTCTTCCTTCTTCCCTCACCTAGGTTGGGACCTTCTAAAACAACAGTTCATTTAAGAACAAAGACTCCAACCGTTTCAATCCTTTTAAAAGGTAATATTTCCCTCAAATTTCTTTTGAGATACAAATAAAGTAAACCCAACCAACAAGGAGGTGCCTCTGAACCACAACGTAGCAGATGACAAAATTGCACTGGGCACACCTGCCAAGCGAGCCTTTCTCCTGTCGCCCGGTACCTGCTGCTGACGCGCTGTGGCTCACCTTCTCACATGAACTAAAAAGGACTGCGCCCCAGCCTTCTCTGGCTTTTCCAGGGAGTCAGGAGGATGAAAGCCATCTGCTCTCCTTGTCCTATAACATAAACGTTCAGCTTCTGCCTGTCTCCTGCCAGATCTGAGAGGCCTTTGTCCTGAGAGATATTTCGTAAGCCCTAATTTTTCTCCTAGTCTTTGTATACAAAGTAATATGAATCTGTTCAAGGACTTAAGTGATAGGTCCAAGAGGCTTTTAATTGTTAAAGGAGCTATTGCGTTATCTTACCCAACTCACTAATTTTACGTTGAGGACCATGAGATTCAGAGGTGTCCCCAGAGTCACAGAGAAGCCGATGGCAGAGCTGGGCAGGATGAGAACTGTAGACTCGACATTTTGTGTTTTCCCCTATGGCGATGGGCACCCCCCCCCCCGGGAAAGCCCTGGGAGGTGCCCATACGGTCAACATCCTCCCTCCAACACCTGCCCATTCTTGTCCCCTGTGCCTGTGCTGTGCCCCCTCCCCTTCCTCAACCTTCAGCTGCCCACCAGGCCTGCCCAGTGCTGGCCCCCAGGCCAATCCTACCCTCTCTGTGTCGGCTTCCCTGACCATTCCAGCTCCCATTCTTCCTTCTCCCTGGGACTCTGCAGCACCTTGGTTTTCGTCGTGTGTCTTAGAACCTGAGTTGTGATGTTACCATTGTGGTGCAGACCATTTTCAGCGAGGTCATTTGGAGGCAGACAGGTGGATTCAGATTCTGGACCTACCACTTGATAGCTCTGCGACCTCAGATAGATTGCTCATAACCTCTGGGGCCTCAGTCTCCTTGATTGCAAAATGAGTACAATAGTATTTAGTTCACAGAGTCTTTCTAACAAGCCAAGGAAATAATTAAGGGAAGGGCCCACAGCAATGCCTGGAGCATAAATGTGGTGCAGAAATGTCAGCTCCTTCCACTAGCCTCAATCCCCCACCTAGCTGCTAGCCTCTCAGAGGCCAGAGGCCACCTCTTTACCTCTTTTGTGGCTGTCTTAGGACTTGACACACAGTAGGTCCTATTGATTGATTGGAAAGACAGAAGATAGGTTTGATCTCACATCCAGAGAAGTCCCTTCACTGGTGTTCAGAGACACTCCAGCCCCATCCTATTGTTTGCTTATGACTTGGTTTCCCTATCTAGCAGGTCCAAGTGGTCTTGTACCTGGTGCTCATCTACTTGGTACTATTATCTAGTGATATGAATGTTTATATGGAAACTGAATGTCAGAAACTCTATGCCCTTAGCAATTTGGATAAACATGGACAAAATGCTACTTTTATGGCTTGTTGGGGTCAGGCTACAGAGGATTCCTGCAATTTCTGGTAATTACTTCCTGGTGGTCCTCCAAGTCTTTGCTCGCGTGACTCTGCTTGCTGCAGTCTGGGCTATCCTGCGTGCAAGGCTCTGTGCCTTCATCAGTTTCCACACAAAAAACGCCCAAAACCTACACCAAGAATTTTGTGGATGTGAATCCTCTACTGAAGATTTGAAAGGTCACAGGGAGCAGAGTCCATTGTAAACTGGGCAGCTTTCCACCATCTGACAGGCTCAGACCCTCTTTTTCTCTTCCCATATCTGCACAAGCCATATCTGTTCCCTTTCTCATACAGAATCATCTAACCCACAGCTGGATTCCTTGGGGTGGGTCTTACCTTCTGCCCTCTAACATTTACATGAAGGTACCCTGTTCTTTACGAGAAGAATTCTAGGAGAGGTTTCTTAAGATGACAATATTTTTCTACCTAATAAGGTCCCACCTGGATTGTAGATTCTTGAAGGTAGACCCTGTTCCTTATGCTTTACTTGCACTGCCCCCCCGATACAACATAGGGTTGGGGGGCACCTAATAAGCACATGATAAAGGAAGGTAAATTAAATCAGAAGCCATAGAACAGAGCTGGGGGGAGGACTGTCCTGTGTCCTTTGGTTACAAATGATCACAGCGCTGAATATCAGAAGGTCTCAGAAGGAGTGCAGGGTTACTTTCGAATGGCCCGAAGCAGGAATCGATGGGAATGAGAGATGACCTACTTAGCATATGCTGCACAATAATGAAATGGAACCAGAAAAAGAGGGTGTGCCTGTGCCCTCAGCAACACCTGTGTTCCCATTTTCAAACCACCGTTTCCTGTGACGGAAGACTCCAGCTCTCCATCTTCTTCCTCAGCGTGGACTCTCAGATCGGTGCTGCTCGGCAGTCAGAGCAATGTTGTTCGTTCATTCGCAAAGAAACCAAGTCTGAATATTCCCGTACAGGAGGTTGGGGCCCTTTCCCCCCTGGAGCCTCCTAGAAGCAGCCAAGGAGGCTGGGTGAGAACTCCAGCACCACTCTTCTACCCTACTGGCTGTGGTTTAAACCGTGACAACTTGGCAAGTAGGCATGCCGCCAAGGAAAATGCTGGAGGACCTTTTTTATCTTTAAAAGTCTGCTGCCATAGAAACACAAAAGTTTCTCGCCCCCTTCAAGTCCCCAAAACTTATTCTTTAAGGAGATAAAGAAGTAAACAAAAAAGACTCTGAGAGGGGCGCCTGGGTGGCTCAGTCGTTAAGCGTCTGCCTTCGGCTCAGGTCATGATCCCAGGGTCCTGGGATCGAGCCCCGCATCGGGCTCCCCGCTCCGCGGGAAGCCTGCTTCTCCCTCTCCCACTCCCCCTGCTTGTGCTCCCTCTCTTGCTGTGTCTCTCTCTGTCAAATAAATAAATAAAAATCTTTAAAAAAAAAAACAAAACTCTGAGAAACAAATATAGTTTGCCCCCAGGAGATCCGAGATGCTATCATAACGGTCTGAGAATGCTAGATCTCTTTCCTGCCTTTCATGTGGTTCTGTCAGCAAGCAGTCTGCAAGGCACGCAACTACTTGAAGAAGCCAGCCAGCCATCTTAAAAAACAAAACAAAACAAAACAAAAAAACACCTTCTTGTTGATGGTGGCTTCCACTCAGAATTGAGGGTGGGGGGAGGATGCTCACACAAACCATGCACTAATTTGAGATCTGGGACCATCCAAGTACACATTTTTACAGAGTTCACAGTTTCCAGAAAAACCCCTTACACCTGCCTGTCCCACCCAGCATTGTGTGTCAGAGGCTGGCAGCTGTGCCCACCGTTTGCCCCCACGCTCCCGTGGCAGCACAAACCTTGTCCAGTCACATGGCTGTCCAGCTTAGGCCTACCCATCTCAGCTTCCCTTGCAGCAGCTGTGGCCATGAAACAAGGCCCATGAGAGGTACCAGGTTCCATCCTTCTACCACTACTGTCATGCTTACTTGACTGGGAGTGCCATGAAGAGGGACCTGCCTCTGCGCATGGAACATCTAGATGACTCTGTAGCAGTGGGTGCTCCCATTATTAGAAAGTCCTTGTCAGAAAGGGGGAGCCCCTGGGGCTCGCTGGTAGGTGTCATCTGTCTCTTCCTCTGAGCTAACCCAGACTTGCTGAGCCAACTTTCTGCCAATCTACTGAAAAGGGTCCTCTTTTCAAGATGAGCTTCCAGGGGCATTCCCTTTTAGCTGAATTACTTAAGGTTTTGTATTATTCATTCTAGCATAGATACAACTATTTCAGAAGATGGTCATGAAGAACAACAGCAGGTCACACACGATAGACCCACATGAACATGCTTTGCATGAATCCCCGAGAGTGCTCTGTAGCAAACTAAGACTTGGACTTTGCAATAAAGACGCTTCATAGCAAGAGACATTAAGATGTCTCTTCCGGTAAAGTGATGATGTGGCAATTGGAAGAAAGATGAATATATATGACTGAGAGGCTGGACAAATGTCATTAGAAAACTGGCATGGTGAAGAGACCTTTAATAAACTCTCAGACCCCACCACTTCATCCCAAGACTGGAAAGTCCCTTGTATGAAGCGTTCATTAAACTAATGGTCACTGCTTTGGTCCAGGCCTTGTCGTCTCTTGATGGATCACTGCAATGGTAGCTCTTCCCCACAACTAGTTTCTCTTTCTGCTGCCTCTGTCCTGCCCCCACCTCTTCTCCACACCACTGAATTTTCTCTCTGGAATGCAAAGGTGATCATGTTACTCCTCTACCTAAAACGCTTTATTACTTCCCATTGCCTATAGGATAATACAGGACAAGACCCAGCTGCCTCTGCTTTTCCCTCTGCCTGGAATGTTTTTATCTGCTTGGATGATTTCTGTTTATTCTTCAAAATCCAGTTTATGTCACATCCTCTATGATGCTCTCTCTGATTCCTCCAGATGGTGTCCATCATTGCTTCCTCTTTTTACCTCCATTCTGCCCATCACACCACACAATCTAGGATCAGTATTTACAGAAACTATCTTCTTCCTTAAGGGCAAAAATCATATCTTTTTTCGTCTTTGTGTACTCAGCACAATGTTGGAACATAGTAGAAGCTCAATGAAAGTTTTGTCAAACTAAGCACAGTATTTTAAGAATTAATAATATTCATTTACAAACACAAATCAATAAACTAATAAAACTCTGCTTTCTGTCTTTAGGCAACCTGGTTTACTAAGAATGGCACGCCACAGACCGGCTACGTAATCCCTGATGTGCTGTTGTCCCTCATCCTTAGAGGAAGGGAGGAGGGATCTCTATTTGTTTTTTGTTGTTGTTGCTGTTGTTTTTAAAGATTTTATTTATTTATTTGAGAGAGAGAGAGAGTGAGAGAACATGAGAGGGAGAAGCGACTCCCCGCTGAGCAGGGAGCCCAATGCGGGACCCGAACCCCGGGACTCCGGGATCGTGACCTGAGCTGAAGGCAGTCGCTTAACCGACTGAGCCACTTAGGCACTGGAGGGATCTCTATTTGTGTTATGATTGAATTGTGTTTCCCCCCAAAATTCATATGTTGAAGTCCTTAGAACATGACCTTATTTGGAAACAGGGTCTTTATAGAGGTAATCAAGTTAAAATGAGGTCATCAGGGTGGCACTATGAACGGCAATGTATCCCTCCCAAATTCTTAAGTTGAAGCCCTAACCCTTAGTACCTCAGAATGTGAATATATTTGAAGATAGGATCTTAAAATACGTGATTAAGTTAAAATCAAGCCATTAGAGTAGGCCCTAATCAATCTTACTAGTGTCCCTATAAGAAGAGGAAATCTGGACACAAAAAGAGGCACCAGGATGTGCATTCACAGAGGAAAGACCCTACAGAGACACAGCAAGAAGGCAGCCTCCTGCAAGCCAAGGAGAGAGGTCTCAGAAAGAAAAACCAGCCCTGCCAACACTTGATCTTGGACTTCTAACCTCTAGAATTGTGAGAAAATAAATTTCTGTTATTCAAGCACCCAGTGTGTGGTATTTTGTTATGGCAGCCCTAGTTACAGGCGGGCCTTAATCCAATATGATCGGTGTCCTTATAAGAAGGGGGAATTTGAGCAGAGAGATGTTTCAAGGGGAGACAGTGTGAACAGACAGAAGAAGACAGCCACCTGCCAGCCACAGAGAGGAACCTCCACAGACCCCTCCATCACAGCGTCAGAAGGAACCAGCCCTGCCAACACCTTGATTTTGGACTTCTAGCCTCCAGAGCTGTGAGACAGTAAGTTTGGGTTGTTTCAGCCACCCCATTCGTGGTACTTTGTTACAGCAGCCCCAGCAGACTAATACTTGTTGTAATCTTTTGTTAGCACTTCTTATGAACGTACGTGCAAACTGAATCATAGAATATGGACTCTGGACAGAACTTCACTAGGTCACCCATTTCATTTTACAGATGATGGAACAGGGGCCCAAGACAGTGAAAAGACTGCCTCACGTCAGGTGGTTCTCCGAACGGCTGAGCTGAGATCCTCACGGGGCTTTCTCACGACGCCACGTTTCTATTGTTCATGTTCCTTCACCCCTCACTAGAGCCTGTTCCATACTCAGTAAAGCTGGTCATATTGTGCGTACTTGGTCCTTAATGTAACCTAGGTAAGTAAGAGCATCTTCACATGTTTCTTTAGAATGTCCTGAGCCAAGTGCGCCTAGCTAAGCTTCATGAACTATCAAGACTTTGAGATGCACTAATTAAATTCTTCTTAAGCCACACTGAGAAGCATGAAGAGAGTTCTTCCTTTTTTGAGGTGGGCCAGGGTAAAGCACTGGATGTCCTGTCTTTGCTCTAAGAGGGTTGCTATAACCACAGAAGCTCGTGCCCCCAAGAAAAAACCCTGCGATTTTTGTGCACTCTCTCTTCCACTAGTACCTATAAGGATTCCAGGATCAGACAGCTCAGCTGTTACTTGCTCTGTGTGTGACCTTTTGATATCTTTCTTTCCTCATCTATAAAGTGGGAATACTAATATTATTTGGTGGCTGTGAGGATTAAATGAGATTCCACCTAAGTGGCACACAATAAACAATTAAGATTTGTCAGTTGTTATTATTTTAGATAAAGAATCGAAGTCTTAGACAGGTGAAGTGACCTTATCCTTGTAAGTAAACAGAACAGCATTGGGTCGAGGGTCCCTGGGGCCACCTTCTATAAACTCTACAAAGCCTCCTGCACAGACAACAAGTCTATTGTGGGCTGAAGTCTCCTTGGAATGACTCCTGTTCCCTGTGGTGGATGCAGGAAGGAGAAGTCACGACATAGGTAATTCTTTGAAGGCCAAAACCCAGGTCCTTCTGTCCCTGTACACACCTGAGGCATGGACACAGGATCTGTTATTGAAAAGGCTCAGTGGTCTATCTTTCCTGCTTCCAACCTCAAACAACTACTTAATCAGCCCTCCCTTCCTCTGACAGCAGAATAACGAGGCTCTTCTTCCTGGAGACTGAGCAGTCAGAAGGTCTGAGTGCAGGTGCTGATTCTACCGTTTATAATTTGAAGAAACTTGAGCAGGGCACTTAAATGCTACGACCTTCAAGTTCCTCATCTGTACAATGAAGACGATGATACCACGTATCTGGTAAGGTTATTGTGAGGATCAAAAGAGATCATACCATTGAAAGTGCTCTGCCAATAACAAAGTACTACATGATTTATTATTATTCCCAAACTTCACAGTCCAGGTCTCAGTCTGAGAGCTGACTCCCCTGGCCTTTGACTTGCTATGAGATTCACAGTCCATTCCATAAAATGTGGCCCTTCATTATATCCTGCTTTTCATTATTGAACTAGAGGTAAAGTATTACCTCTAGACATGTCTAATCTTTACAACATGTTGCTGGAGTGCAGAGATCATGTATCATATCCATGCCCAATTTGCTGTGCATAGGTGGTCAACAGTACTTATTGATGGTACAGACCTGTCCCACCATTAGTGGAGTATGGACTGGGGAGTCGGGACCTGCCACCTTCATTCTCTCACCCAGCTGCCCTTGCAGCTCGGAGCCAAGACAGGAGGGGAGAGGAAGAATCGCAACTGGGAGGCCTGCACGCTAGGTCTGGCCCCGTCATTTCTTATTGTTGTCCTCAAGTATGAACCGAGCATAATGCCAACCTGGTGATTATGAGCAGAGGGCATTCACTGAATGCACATGAGGAGGCTTTTCTCAACCATAGAGAAAATGGACAGTGTTATTACCAAGGTGGAGGCCACGGCTATGGGAGCAGAGCATTTAGTCCAGGTGAGGACTGAGCCCATATCATCAATGTGCCACGCCCGCCCCCACCAGGGCACTCACCTAAAGATTCTGGCCTGCACTTGGACTGCGGGGTGAAGATCTGTGAGCGGCTGCTGATGGGGTTGCTCGCGGTGCAGAAGTAGACATTGTTGACATTCTGAGGGCCGAGGCTGAGGTGCAGGAGGTAAGAACCGTTGGCTGGGATCAGTGGGTCGGTAGCCATTTCCTCACTCCAGCTGTAAACCACATAGTCCCCTTTCTCCACTTCGCAGGCCAGTGTCAAGCTGCAGTTCCCATTCTCCTGGGTCCAGTTCAACACCTTAATTTCCGGAGTGGAGACCTGCTCTGTCAGGAGGGGGAGGAGGGAAGCCATCACTGAACCCCCTGGGATTCTAAAGTGACCTTCTTGTTAGAAGAAAATGCAACCTAATGGTAGTTTTCCCTCCCTGTGGGTCTGCAGTGTGATTTATTTCTAGTGGGGATCTGCTGGTTCCCCCAGATCCCTCTCTCTCCACTATACTCCCTTCCAGTACGACCTCAGGACAAAATAGGGAAAAATCATTTGTCTTTTAGTTCCCTCCTACCACTACTGTTAGGAATCTGCTTGCTCTTGCTGATGCTCCCAATCTGAGTTGCTCTTCTGTTTTCTACCTGTGGTGTTTTCTGCCAACTAATCCTGCATGGTTTAATTGTCACTGGCTAGAGTATTACCTCTAGACATGAAAGAATGACATAGTGGTGGGGTCTTACCTGGAGTGTGTGCGTGGGGGTCTGTGAGTGTGTGTCTATGTGTCTGTGTCTGTGTGTGTCTGTGGGGGGGGGGCGGGGGGGGATCTCACTCTAATGCTGTGAAATGGCCAAGGCAAGGGGGCAGGTTGTATTTATTTAGCAACTACTGTAGGATGGGCACGATTCTGGAATTTTACATCTATCATAGTCTTTAATCTTCTCGACACCTTTCTCAACAATTATAACCTTAGTTACAAGTATTCCCTTTTTACAGATGAGGAAACTGAGTCCCAGAGAGGTGGAGTGTCTCACATAATATCACTCAAGCTGAGATCAGAACCTAAAGCTGTCTGACTCTGAAACCCAGCCTCTTTCTTTCATGGTTGCAGAGACTGTTATCTTCCAAGGTAAGAATTTATGTGACAAGATGTGACAAAGGCAGTGAACTATTCTAGAAAATGCATGATGTGTCATCCCTAGGCCACTATTGGAGTAGTCAGAGCTCTCCGGTACCTGGCAGAGGGCTGAGGGGAGCCTGCATACACCATGTGGAGGAAAGGGGATGCTGGGTAGGTGGGGCTCTCTGTCCCGTCTCAGAGATAAGGAAGTCTCTCTATGAGAAAGCAGGACAACACTCATGGCTGTTGTCAGGATTTCTGGAAATTCAAAGAGCCTCTGGGCCAAAGAGACACAAACTCCGGGTGCATTCAAGAGGGGCTGGCAGTTAAAGAGGCTCAAAAAAGCACTGGCCTTGGATTCAGATGGACCTATGTTCTAGTTCAAGTTCTGCAGCTGAGCGGCTCTATAACCAGAGCCTCTGTTTCAATGAGAAAAAGTGCTTTTCCACCAGGTAGATGTGGTATTGTGCCAGAGCACAGGGCATGTGAGTGGCGCATGGGCTGATTCAGGGAACCACCCACGAGGACTTGTATACGCACAAGCCAGCCACTTCTCCCTGGATTTCAATGTCCTCATCGACGGAAAAGAGGTTGCGCTCGATCTATGGTATTCAAACATTTTAAAAATCGAGGGAAAAACCTTCTTTTCAAACCAAGTCTTATTTGCTAATTGAGACTCTTGGGGCCACGGCCCTGTAGTCCATGGGCAGCTGGGTTCCTTTTCTTTGGGAAATGGGGGTAGGGCTAACTAGTGCTAATCAACTACCATCAATGAGCAATTTGGACAAAAAAAGATTTGTGAATCTCTAAAACCTCTTCCTAAAGCACAGTTTAAACACCCTAGACTAGGTGACCTTTCAAGTTGCTCCCAATCCCGGATACTCTTGCTTCTGAGAGACGCCTAAATCCTTAGGTAAAGGATGATCTCGGGTGCCCCCCACCCTGACCCGTGCAGACTGGGGAAGCCCCATTATTACCATAGAGCTTCAGCTGCAGACAAAAGTGTCGAACTGAAAAGTTCTCCTCCAGGGTCATGAAGTACCAGCCTTCATTTTCCTTTCTGCTTTCCAGGATCCCCAGGCTCAGGTTTTCTAGATGAAATGTATAGCCATTTTCCAGATAGCGTGGAGAACCGCCTTCTGGAAGATCCAGAGACACTATTTTCTTCTTGACACTGTTTCCCGGTGATTCTGCTCTGGTGACGAGGATGTGGATGCTCTTGTTCATGCTCTTACTTATCCCTTCAGATGCCAGGGACAGCAGTAAACTGCTTCCCAACTGCTCAGGGATCTCTGGGCAATTCATCAAGCTCTCACCTGTGTGAGGAAGAATAAGAAAGTCCCTTTTTGTAGGGGCTTTTGAGAATCACATCCTGTCTGTGGATCAGGAATGACAGATGGAAGGTCCTCCCTCTTCCTCTTGCACTATCCCTGGGGTTGCCAGGTCCTTAATAGCCTATAAAAATGGTCATGACAGTCCCACTATATTCTCAATATTTCAAAAATCCCAATGTAAATCTTAAAATTACTTACAAAGGAGATGTACAGACTAACTAGGACACTGGGTTTCTTTGATCTGGGAGATAATTCTGTCAACTCAGATTTATAGTTAAGGCACAGAGAAGTTAAATGACATCCCTAAAGTCACACAACCAGCAACTGGTCTAGAAGCCAGGTCTGCTAATTCCTTGACCAGACTTCTCACCACCACTGGGTACATAGTATGAAGGGCAGAGAGCAACTGAAGCTGATTTTGAGCTCGTGAGCCCAGGAGACCAAGGCTACAGAGCATCATTTGAGATAATGAAGAAAGAGAAAAGTCTGAGGGATGTGGAGCTAGGAGAGTGGTGAGCCCAGTGTTCAAACTGTGGAATTCTTGCTCTCAAAAAGACCATAAGATAGTTTCTAATATCAAGGGTAAGAAATTATTTTATTTCTCTTTTTCAAAAGAGCTGAGCCAACAACAACCACCAAAAAAAAACCCCTAAAAAAACAACAACAAAAAACCACACCCTTTCAAGTCACTGTAAGAGATCCTACTGCTGACTATTTTAACACCTCCCCTCTCCTCAAACCAATGGCCTCCGCTGATGACTCTGCTTCTCATTGCACTGAAAATGTAGAAGAAATGAGAAGAGAACTTCCATTTGAAACTACCACCGAGAAACCCACCTACCCAGATGGATGGTCTATGCTCCCATTAAGGTTAGCCTCTTCCATCGTGAACACTCACCCACCTCAAGCCTTTGCTCTTGCAATAGCCCCCACCCCTTGCACCATCAGCTTTATTACTGGTATAGAATGTTGTGGGTTATTTCCATCAACAGACAACATTCCAACCTGTAACTTCCCTCATCTTACAAACCCCTACCCTGACCCCAGGTTCATCCCTGGCTGCTGCCTCATTTCTCTCTTTTCCTTTATTGCAAAGTCCTTTAATGTGTGTTTGTATTTTCTGTTTCTGTTTCCTGACTCATTTTTCCTGTACCTACTCTTAGCACGTGCTCTTCCCTACTACTCACTGGAACCACTCTTATCAAGGTCACTGTATGTGCCATGGTGCTGAGTCCATTCTCCATCCTCATCTTGCTTCCTCAGGAGCACTTGACATGGTTCATCAGTCCCTCTTTGAAACACTGCCTTCATTCAACCCCTGGAACCCCACTCTCCCGGTTTCCTTCCTATTTCACTGGCTTCTCCTCCTCAGTCTCCTTGCCTGGAAACTGCTGCTCTTAAAGACCTCTAAATATTGGATCATCCCAGGACTTAGTACTCTGATCTCGTCCCTCCCAGCCACACTCATCCAGTTGCATGGGTTGACATACTTCTGGAACACTTGCATAGATAGATCTCCCACCCAAACTGCCTACATGGATCAGTATTTGGAGGTCGAAAGGGCATTGCAAACTTAGCAAACAAACTCTTGGCTCCAAAGCCCCTCCCACCGACAACATTGCAACTCCCCCAGATTCTGAGACCAAAACGTTCGGAATCATGCTTGACTCATTTCCTTCTCTCATACTCCTTATGGAGTCTATCAGCAACTCCTGTTGGCTCTAACTTCAGAACATGTCTGCAATCCAAGCACCTCAAACCTCCCTCATTTCTGCCACCGGAGTCAAAGCCTGACACGGCCATTGGCTTCCAACTAATCTCCTGGCATCCGTGCAGTAGACAGAGTCATCTTTTTAAACCTGTGCCAGATTTTGTCTCTCCCCTGCTTTAAAACTTCCAGGGATTTCTGAAACCCATAGAAAAAATATCCACAGGCTTTGTTATGGCTTCGAAGACTCTGGGTAACCCCGTCCCTGACCCCTCTCCTTCCCTCTCTCTCCACTCACTGCACTATGGTCATACTGGCTCAAACACTTCATCAAGAACATTCCCTCCTTAGAGCTTTTGCTTCTGCTGTTTTCTAGATATCTTTTTTCTTTATATATCAGGATAGCTCACTCCCTCACTTTATTTTAGGTTTCTGCTCAAAAAATTATCCCCTCTAGGGGAAGAATGAAAGGGGGGGAATTGGAGGGGGGAGACGAACCATGAGAGAAGATGGATTCTGAAAAACAAACTGAGGGTTCTAGAGGGGAAGGGGGTGGGAGGATGGGTTAGCCTGGTGATGGGTATTAAAGAGGGCACGTTCTGCATGGAGCACTGGGTGTTATACGCAATGAATCATGGAACACTACCTCAAAAACTAATGATGTAATGTATGGTGATTAATATAACATAAAAAAAATTATCTCCTCTGAGAAACCTGCTCTGACCATCCTATATAAAATAAGCACCCCTTCTGACTGCACACTTACCCCTTTCTGATGATATGTCGTACATTATTTTATTTTATTTTTGTGTCCCTGGTTAGGATGCAAACTCTTCAAGAGGAAGAATTTCATTCTGTTCATTGGCTTTTTTTTTTTTTTTAAGATTTTATTTATTTATTTGACAGAGAGAGACACAGCGAGAGAGGGAACACAAGCAGGGGG